CGGGCACCTAAATTTGCCTCTGCTCATAAAGAGGCAGAGAAGGGAGCTCTGGACCTTGGCTCCAGTAGAAAAGAGGTGAGTTTTCCCTGCAGGGACGCTTGTCAATGTGAGCATTGCTGCTTGAATAACTACAATAAAAATCCAGGGTGTGTAGGGCCTGGCTTAAGCAGGCCGCCTGCCTCAATTCGGATCAGATTCCAGAGTCCCAGCATAGCCCTTCAGGAAATGCCATCAGGCCATGTGAAGACAGGGTCCCCCACCCCATGTCTGCCACCCCCAGTCCGTGTACAGAAGTGAAACTGACAGGCAGTGGGGTCGCAGCTTCCTCCCTTGCCTGAGGGCAGCAGGCTAGTTCATGGAGGGTAGGACATGCCCTACGGCACCCACAGCTCTGTCTACCCAGGACAGGACTGGCCAGCAGTCATCCACTGCTGTCCCACAGCATCTGCCTAACTAGAAGGCTGGTGCCATCTGGTATGTCAGTGATAAACTGCTTCTGAACAGGAAGGTTCCATTTGAACAAAATCTAAGCAATCAAACTTAACTAGGTTAAGCTGGGGTGAAGCCAGATAGAAGAACTTCAGGTATAAGGAGTCTAGGTGTGGTGGGAGAGGTTTGGTGGGTAGAGATAGAAGAGTCCCGTCTAAAGTTCTGGGCAGCCACCGCCAGCCACAGGGTAGGCAATGCTGAGCAAATGGATCAATGGTCTGAGTCAGAATAAAGTGGCTTCCCTGTGTTGCTATGGCTTGCAGGTCTCAGCATTTTGGAGTCCCCTAGAACACCAGGGCGGATCGAGCTGCATCAGAAGAAAGTAAGGAGAACCACTCTGCCTTCGAAAGGTAAACTATTCTGGCTGTCTCCAATATGCTGCTCCTGAGAAAGCAGGTTAAAAGCCTTCCCGCAGTCCCCCTAAAGGCATCCTGTTGCATCCTGGAAGTCTGTGGGTTTGACTTTGACACCGGATGCCTCTCTTTTAATCCGTCTAGCTGTGCTGAAATCGGGAAGCTGGTGGGTCTTAATCATGCCAGCTGTTTGCCTTGGGGCAAATTTTTGTCTCAATTCCTGTTACAAGCCTTTCCTCCAAGCACCACCTTCCTCTCTTCTTCACTATAGACAAAATGTACAAAGGCTGCCACCAAGATCTCCCAGAGAGGACTTGTCTATTGAGCATTTGTCCTGATTTGCTTACAGAAGACTTATATGGAGGTTATACCATGCCTGCCCTTTACTGAGCATTCATTCTGCTTGGTTGGCAGTGAGGTTATACCGCAGTGAGCATCCATCCTGATTTCCTTGTGCAGAGGTTACACATCTTCTTGCCAATCATCCCCTTATCCTCACACCTTTTTGTGCATCTCCCTTTGGCTTTCCTAACCACAAAAAAAGGATATTGGTGGTTGTTTTTAAAGTGGATTTGTTGCACTGGAGCATTTTAATCTGCTTCCATTGTGCTAACCTAAATCTCCAGTCTGCGATTGAATCCCTTCCATGAAATAAAGAGGCAATCACAGTCCCACATTCAGAATGCACTTTGTATAGATGAGACTGGAAAACTACTTTGAATGCCCCCATCCTGTTGTTTCAGACACAAGCCAAGCAGAGAGAGCATAGCATAATGTGATGATGCATGCTTGGCATACAGAATGTCTCTGGTTTGATCCCTTGCTTTCCATTTTTAAAAGGCTCTCTGGAGGTGAGAAAGATCTGTGCATAAGACCCTGGACATGCCCCCTGCCAGCCAGCCGGAATAGACAGTACTGATCTGGTGTAAGCCACTTCCTGAGGAAATATCAAAACAACAACAACAACCAGCGGCGTAGCGTGGGTTGTCAGCACCCGGGGCAAGGCAAGTAATTTGCGCCCCCTAACCCGGGGCAAGGCAAGTAATTGCGCCCCCTAACCCCTAACCTGCCGCCGCTGCCAGCTTCTTCTTGCTGCTGCCTGGTCTGGTCTGGTGTGGTTCTCTCCCGCGCTCAGCGCTGCGCTGGGCGGCCGCTGCACTGTCCCTCCCCAGATAGTCCCTCGCTCTCTCTCCGCACCGCACGCCTGGCACCCACCCCCTCCACAGTGGGCGGCGACCCAGCGGCTCAGATCAGATTCGCACAGCCAGCACTGCAGTGAGAGAGAGTGAGTGAGCCAGGTAGGGGCAGAGAGCTGCGAGTGCGAGCGCGCCCCCCCAGATGTTGCGCCCGGTGCCGCCGGCCCCCCTGCACCCCCCATGCTACGCCACTGACAACAACAAGTTAGGTTGTTGTTGTTGTTGTTGTTTCTACCCCGCTCATCTGGCTGGGTTTCCTCAGCCACTCTGGGCGGCTTCCAGCAAAAGATTAAAAATACATTAAAACACCAGTCATTAAAAACTTCCCTAAACAGGGCTGCCTTCAGATGTCTTCTAAATGTCATATAGTTGTTTATTTCTTTGACATCTGATGGGAGGGCGTTCCACAGGGCGGGCACCACTACCAAGAAGGCCCTCTGCCTGGTTCCCTGTACCTTCACTTCTCGCAGTGAGGAAACCACCAGAAGGCCCTTGGAGCTGGACCTCAGCTGAATGATGGGGGTGGAGATGCTCCTTCAGGTATACTGGGCCAAGGCCATTTAGGACTTTAAAAGTCAGCACCAACACTTTGAATTGTGCTCTGAAATGTACTGGGAGCCAATGTAGGTCTTTCAAGACCGGTGTTATGTGGTCTCGGCATCATTCTAGCTGCTGCATTCTGGATTAGTTGTAGTTTCCGGGTCACCTTCAAAGGTAGCCCCACGTAGAGCACGTTGCAGTAGTCCAAGCGGGAGATAACTAGAGCATGATCACATTCCTGCCTTACAGCTTAGTGAAGTTGTCCCCTCCTTGTACATTTCCCAGCTCCTCCCTCCCCCCAGCTCTTCACATCAACACGGCTTCAATTTGTTCCTGTCTGTGTGCACAACAGGGGTGGTTGATGTGGGGAACGTGAATGCCTTTACCCTATACCAAAGTGTCCGCTCCTTGGCTAGAGGTGAATTAAGAACAGCTGAAGGACACCAATTTATATGAAACTAGTTGGAGAAAAACAGCATCAAACATTAGTATTTTATAACAAAAGTACGGGATACGTATGCATTTTGGTTAACTTCTTGTGAACAAAGACTGAATATCCAGTGCTGGAAATGCAGTGAGGGCAGAGTAGACAGGAGCAGCAGAAATGCTAAGTGTGATGTATAATGCAGGCTACTGTGATCTCGCAGCGGGAATATATGAAATTTTAAAAGGTCACTTGTTCTGTTACCTCTCTTAACCTCGGCTGCCATTTTATTATTTATATTCTTCTTTTCTTCCAAAGGATTTAAGGAGGACATGCAAAGAGTTCCATCCAGCCTTCCATTCGGGCCCTGAGCAGCCCCAAATTTCTTTAACAGATCAATTAAAATAGAAATGCATACACTACTGGTGAGGAGGACACCTGTGAGCAAATAAAAATATTATCCATCAGTTTCTGAAACCCGGTAATGTGGGAGGCAGACACGCCTCTAAGGAGAGATCAGACGAGAGTAGCATCCAGGTGTCCCATGATCCCATCTGTCCCTGTTAATAAATACAGTGGTGCCTTGGTTCTCAAATGCCTTGGTACTCAAACAACTTGGAACCCAAACACTGCAAACCCAGAAGTAAGTATTCCGGTTTGCGAACTTTTTTCGGAAGCCGAACATGCTCCCATTTTGAGTGTTATGCTTCCATTTTGAGTGCCACACTTCCGTTTTGAGTGTTATGCTGAGGTCTGTCTGTTTTTGGTGTTTGGCTTGTGTTTTTCTTTTTGTGGCTCCTTTTGTTTTGTTTTGTGATTGTGTGGAACCCAGTTCAGCTACTGATTGATTGATTGTGTGACTGCAGTACATGGTTTATTGCTTTCATTTTATGGATCATTGGATCGTTGGATAGTAAAATTCATGTTAAATTGCTGTTTTATGGCTTGTTTTTAAAAGTCTGGAATGGATTAATCCATTTTGCATTACTTTCTATGGGAAAGCGCACCTTGGTTTTGAATGCTTTGGTTTTGGAACGGACTTCCGGAACAGATTAAGTTTAAGAACCAACGTACCACTCTCTATGCATTTTTTTTGTCCATGGAACATGCAAAAGTTTTATTATTATTATTATTATTATTATTATTATTATTATATTTCTATCCCACCCATCTGGCCAGGTTGCCTCAGTAATCAAATGTAATACAGTGGTGCCCCACAAGACGAATGCCTCGCAAGACGGAAAACCCGCTAGACGAAAGGGTTTTCCGTTTTGGAGGTGCTTCGCAAAACGAATTTCCTATGTGCTTGCTTCGCAAGACGAAAATGTCTTGCGAGTTCCTGCAGGGTTTTTCCTTCCCCCTTTTTCCCAAGCTGCTAAACCGCTTATCAGCTGATGGCTAAGCCGCTTATCAGCTGATCTTTAAGCCGCTTAACAGCTGATACTAAGCCGCTTATCAGCTGATCTTTAAGCCGCTTAACAGCTGATGCTAAGCCGCTTATCAGCTGATCTTTAAGCCGCTTAACAGCTGATACTAAGCCGCTTAGCAGCTAATACTGTAGCGCTAAGCGCTAAACCTCTAATGGGCTTGCTTCGCAAGACGAAAAAATCCGCAAGACGAAGAGACTCGCGGAACGGATTCTTTTCGTCTTGCGAGGCACCACTGTAAATTAATTTATTCAATTTTATTCTTGTTTATTCAAGGGGGAGACCAAGGAGACTGGGAACCTTTTATTTCTGGAGATTTGAGAGGGCTGGTTATAGGTGGGCAGAGGATTCACACATAAGGGAAAGCCAACTCTCACATCCCTGGGATTCTTCACATGTTGTTGTTGTTTAGTCGTTTAGTTGTGTCCGACTCTTCATGACCCCATGGACCAGAGCACGCCAGGCACTCCTGTCTTCCACTGCCTCCCGCAGTTTGGTCAAACTCATGCTGGTAGCTTTGAGAACACTGTTCAACCATCTTGTCCTCTGTCGTCCCCTTCTCCTTGTGCCCTCCATCTTTCCCAACATCAGGGTCTTTTCCAGGGAGTCTTCTCATGAGGTGGCCAAAGTATTGGAGCCTCAGCTTCAGGATCTGTCCTTCCAGTGAGCACTCAGGGCTGATTTCCTTCATAATGGATAGGTTTGATCTTCTTGCAGTCCATGGGACTCCCAAGAGTCTCCTCCAGCACCATACAGAGAGGTGAATTTGATCATCCGCATTTGCCAGCCTGAATGGAGCCACTGCCTTCCCAGAGTTTCTTATCAGGAACATCCGCTGTCTGAGAGAGATACTTTGGACATGGCTTTCTATTTCTTAGTAAATGGTGTTGGGAATTTCTGAGTGCAATTTCTGAGTGCAACGAGATTAAAGTACAGAGAGCAGAGAGAGACGTCTTTTTGTTGTTGTTGTTGTTGTTACTGACACAAAACCACCCATTCCCACTATCCCTTCACTGAGATGATTTCTTGGAGGAAGCAGAAAATGAATAAGTTCTGGGTTCAGTGTTGGAAGTATTAGAAACACGCTGCAGAAATCAAAACCCCGCACTTCTTTTTTGGCAGGTTTCTCCCATCTGTAAAGGAAAAAACGCTACTGCTTATTTTTAGGCAGTCTGGTTATATCATCATTATTTTTTTATTTTAAAAAGGAGCCAAAAAGAAATTTTAAAAGGTTTAAAAATGCAAAAGGTTCTGGGATTTGTCAAGCTAAAAGAAAAGTGTGATTTCTCAAGGCTCTGTTTCACCCATCCGCCACTCTCTTGTGTTAAGAGTTTTGGGAAACTACTCAAAATGTAATTTTAAAAAGTGTATTTGGTGGGGGGCTGGGGGAAGGGGGCTTTCAGCTTCTTTGGCTAATGGAATGGAATGGATTCTGCTCAACAATGCTTTTTGGCATTCTGCTCACACTCTTTTTCCAGGCCTCCATTGCTCAGTTGCCCTCTGCTTCCCAAACCCCACCTCCTTCCCCCCACAGACCCATAGATGTTGAACAGTACTCATGCAAACTGTGCAAGTAAGAGATGTGTAAGTCTCCATTCCTAGTCACACCAGAAAGCAGAATCCCCTTATTTTAAAAGGTATTTCCAAATATCATAGGTAGGTTCATAAAGTAGAGCAGGTAAGATTTGGAAAAGTGAACTCCATGATTCCATTGCTTATCAAATGTCTGAGCAGCAGGCTTGTTCCACCACAACTCATCACCACCAGTTGGAGCTACCCCTCATACCTGTAAGACCACCTCCATCCCAACAGACCCTCTCTGGTGCTAAGATTGGCAGAAGGAGGCTCTCTTGGCTGTTTCATCACCCTCAAAAGTTTGGGGGCTTGCAGCCCAGAAGTGGGCATTCTCTGTGGCAACCGCCAAAGTTGTGGAATTCCTACAGAGGTGTGTCTGGAACCTTCATTATACAGCTTCCAGTGTGTGCTGAATATGCACTACTTCGCCCTGGTCCTTGAGGTGTATATTTTCAAGGCTCACCTCATTTCTGTGAGTGTCAGTTGTTTTAAACCATTCTTATTCCCTAGCCTAGGACCTTAGGGAGAAGCATAGGCACCAAGTGTGAGGGGCTGTGGGTGCTCCAGCCCCCACAACATTCCCCATGAAGGGGCAGGGCACCCACAAATTTTTATGCGGGTCCAGCTGAGGAGAAGAGCGGCAATGCTGCCATGACTTTCCTTCCTCTCTCTGCCTCTCAGGTCAAACCTGACCCAGGAGCGGTGCTGAGACTGGGTGTGAAGGAGCTGGCTGCTCCCTCACGTGGGCACCCCAGCGTAGGAGAGGGGCAGTAATGCTCAGCAGCGGAGGAAGCCCCTTGGGCACCTGGGGCAGCGCGCCCAGGGGCAAGGAGAACCACGCATAGGGGCAGGGCATGCGGCACCCATAGGGGCGGGGCACACATAGGCGCCCTTAGGGAGGGACGGGGTGCACGGCACCCATAGAGATGGGGCATGCCATGGGCCTCATCCACCCTACAGCTGGGGTGGAGGCAGCGGGCGGACAGCGGGAGCCTATGGCTGGCACCCATTGGAGGCAACTGTTGCCCATTGGGGGCGATTGACATGGCAATCGGCACCCAGGGGTGCGGCGACCCACCAAGGAGGGATTTTGTCACCCCCCCCTCAGAGATGACACCGGGGCAGACCGCCCCCACCAGCCCCCTTCCTACACCACTGCTGCTGCTGCCGCCTCTCCTCCAATCCGCCTCCGGGTCAGACTTGACCCGTGAGCGGAGCTCCACTTGCACGCCAGAGCCAGGCTCCAGTGAGGGAATGAGGGGCACCTAGTCACACCCCCTCTCAAAAATGCACCTGTAGGTGTACTGACATCAGACACACATGTGTACACGGCCCTGGAGACCCACTGTCCCAGGACCAAGCCAGCAGGCCCTGGGGTGAAGGAAGGGTAATAAATTATCTTCATCATCTAGGAAAGCCATGACTACTTTATAGAGGAAATTCCTGTTTAGGTGTCCTCTATTTTACAAGCACTCTAGTTTCAAGGTAAAGAAAGGAGGTGGGCAGGGGCAAGAGCCCCCAGTACTTGCTTCTTCTCTCTTCTCCGTTGCAACCTGCTTGTTCACTCATGTCTCCCTCTGGACCAGCAGTGGTGAGAAGGAGGAGTGGCAGGTGGCCTTTCTGACTTCCTCATTGGCACTCCACCTGGCAAGCAAACAGGTGGTGGCAAGGATGAGGAAGAGCAGCCGCCTGCTGTGAGAATGGTGATGAAGAAGTCAATACACTGAGGGTGGGCCTTTCAAATCTTGGAGCCATCTCTGGCGGTGCCTGTGAAGTTAAGCCTAAGAGCAATTGCTCCCTCCCATTTATTGGTGCAATTGCTTGCAGTTAAGTAAAAGAGAAAGGCAAGAGGCACTTTACACACTAAGAACAGCTTGTACTGTACTTTGGCCCTCAGAGACAGTACACTTGGCTCGATAAATTATTAATTCGTCCCAATTTAACTTCCTGTGGACTTTGTGAAATATATCACCTGGAAAATATTTATCAATAAGAGCAGATCACTGGTGGCAGCATAGCTATGAACATGCTCAAAAATAAAATCTGTATATGGTCATTTGGCTTGCAGGAACGTTACAAGCTCATCTAGAGCTACGGTCATTTTCTGCTTAAATCACACCCTCTGTTTCCTTGTGCTTGTGACTATTTTAGACAGGTCTAATGTTTTGCTCAGGAAGGTGTAGTTCCCCTGCCCACCTGCCCCCCAAGTCTCACTGTCTTCCCTCTCCCAAGCTTTGTGCATTCGGTGTGAAAGTCTGAAGGGAGACTGGAACTGTGTTCCATTGAACCATGGTTAGAATCTTTCCTGCAACCAGGAACCTGTTAAGCTGAATGTGGTTAGGTCCTTTAGGATTTTCTGCAGATTTTCATGCTCACACAGAAAAGAGAAGGGGATGGGGAGGTGAACACAGTAACGTTGGGGCACAGGTGTGTTTCCCCCACCTGTCCCATGCCCCTATTCGACTGGAGTCCTCACTCATTCATTTGATGCCTGAAAAGGGCTTAATTTACTATGCAGTCCTATACATATCTGCCCAGAAGGAGGTTCCATTGAATTATGAAGAGCCTTAGAACACAATTCTACACATCCACTCAAAAGTCAGTCTGCTCATTTCAATGGGATATACCCCCAGGTTAAGTGTGCATATGAGAGAGAACATTATATGCCATTATATGCTGCCTATGATTTATGCTATGGCAAGATTAATTGTTCTGGGAAAAGTCTTGCCATATGCTTATTTAACCTGATTTTTTCAAAAGAGCCCAATAAGGGAGATTCCCCAAGCTCCCACGGGCAATTTATTTTGTTGCCTATCTGTTCCTGGTAAGGCTGTTACAGTTCCTGAGCTGCTGCCCAAGTTGTTCTTCCTATACCATAAATCCAGCTTGCCCTCTCCTAAGAGGCCAAGCAGAACAATTGTATTTTTGCATCATTTCATTCCAGATTTTTACATAACTAAAGACCGTGGCCATGTTCTCTTTCAGCTCTCTGCTCTTGAGACTAAACATTCCCATTTCTTCCAACCTTTCCTCAGAGGTCTGGCATTCTGAATCTTTTATCATCCATGTTGTCCTCGGAATTCTTTCCAGTTCATCTTCATCTTTCTCAAAAATGTGTGGAACAAAAGCACGGACAATTCTCGTAAAGCTGGTTGCTTCTTATACATCATCTTTTGGTTAAGAGGATGTGTCAACATAGTAACTATTTTCTAGCAACAGCATCATATGTTTAATTCCTCCCACCACCAACACAGCAGCTACATCAGATGTACCTGAGTTCTGGTCTTTATGTGGGAGCTCTAGGTGTATTATGTGCTGGCACACATGGCAGGAGCCCTGATGTTCTCTTTCCTGAAAGTAAGTCCCATGACACACCATAGAATTTACTCATGTAGAAGATGCATAGACTTGGGCTACACCTCTCGCCATCACACCACTTGGAGGGAGCTTCAGTGGCCTCTCTAGCAGGGTAGGAGAATGTTGTTGGACTTCAGATCCCATCAACCCCAGCCAGTATGGTCAATGGTCAGAGATTATGGGAACCAACCACATTTAGTAAGCCATAGATCCCCCAACACTGTCCTAGAGTGTCCCTTCTTAAACTGGAATCTTGTTACAGTGGTACCTCTGGTTACGAACGCTTCAGGTTATGAGCTCCGCTAACCCGGAAGTAACTGCTCCTGGTTGTGAACTTTGCCCCAAGATGCAAATGGAAATCGCGTGCCAGAGGCAGGCCCCATTAGTGAAAGTGCACCTCAGGATAAGAACGGTTTCAGCTTAAGAACAGACCTCTGGAACAAATTAAGTTCGGAACCAGAAGTACCACTGTACTTATCTTTTCTTTGAAAATTCAGATAGACCAGTTTCTCTGAAGTCTGGAAATGATCTCTGGATTCGACTTCCTATACACTTTAAAAAGTTATGAATTGGCCTGATGCTCATCATCTTAACACTAATTACCCTGGCTTAACCGTGTTGTAGTTCTCTGGCTAAAACTCTGATACAAAGAACTAAGGAGCCTTCTGAGTCAATGGTGAGAATTGTCTGGTGACATCTTCCTTGGTGGGTCTTTTTAGTTTTTTAATATAAAAAACCCCCAATGAATAAAGTGGTAACATAACTGAAGATCTTATTGTGCTAAAGTGTTTAAGAAAAAGCAGTGTGTAATCCCCCTATCATAGTTCCTGTGCCAACCCAATAATTGCATCCAGATTATTTGCAATTTTCTTTGAACATTAGTGGCGCTGGAAAGCGTTAGTGATCCTAATTGCAAAACCTACCATGGCTCAGGAGGATCAGCAAATGCACTTGCCCTGCTTAAATGACAGTGTTAAGTATGCACTGAAAACACCACTAAAATAAACCTAGTCAAAAGCACACAAAACTACTAGCCTGTTCAATATGCTTGCTCACACAACTTAAATCAAATTTACTTCCATTATTTTCCAGCCCTACAAGCTGCTCCCGGGGAAAACAGCAGGTTAGATAAAGCACAATGACCAAAGTGCCAAAGCAATGTCACAAACTGTGGCTGTTGCACTGGCACTGTAGACTATGTTATGTGTTCCACCATTTGGGTCAACGCTACCATTCTGGCAACCACAATTTTCAAAATTGCACAGTAGAAAAATAGCAGTTTTAGAAGGTAGAATTCATATTTGTGTTAGGTCTTTAAACTTCAAGTGTGCAGATTCTGATAGGGGAAACTTCATGTTCTCTTTACTGATATTCATTGGAGTTTTCCTCCAAGTCTATTACTTTCCTAATGCCAATTTTTAAGCATCAGCACTATATATCAACCAATGGCATTGTAGGTCACTAGGCCGGCTTTCGGCTTAGTGACCGTATAATGGATTGTTCATGTATGCACAGGCAGTTCAAAACTAGCAATGTCAGCATAGCCAAGGGGCAGAGGTCAGTATGGAAAGCAGATTGTAGGCAATCAGGAAATTGTTTGAGTGATCTGGATCCAAGGCATCAAACAGAGTCAAAATCAGTTTTACCAAACCATACTCATAGTCCAGGTGAGAAAGAGGTGATTTAGAGTTAATGGCAGGAATGGCCGGGTTGGGAGGAGGAAGAGGCAGCATACAGTACTAAAGTCCTGTATACAATGGTGATTCTTAATAGTATTCTTATGACCCCTAAATTCCTGGGTCCAGTAAGTTTTAGATTTTAATCAAGGTTTGTGTGTGTTAAACTGGATTCAAAACTCCTAATCCCTGGACCCAGCTTCCCATGTTCAGGAGATTGCCTGGGTCATTAAGAAAACAAAGGAAAGGTAATGGGCCATTAAGAAAGCAAAGGCTGTGGCCCAGATGATCAGTGGGTAGGGCCATCTCAGAGTCAGTTAGAAGACAAAGCCAGAGTCTGAAGTAGAGATGAGAGGTGGCTGTGATGTAACCTAGAGGAGGAAAAAGTTGCAGGCTGGGAAAGGCTGGAGAGAGAATCAGAACACAATGGTTGATTGAATCCAAAGCTGCAGCTATAGGAGAAACAAGACCCTCTTAATGCTGTGAATCCCTCCATCATGGGCTCAGGTTGTATATATGTATAAATAAACCTTATATCATAAAGACACCACAGTCTCCTCTGTGCCTCATTCCTGAAAGGAAACACAAACCCTGGGTAAGCATGCCTGGAAGCTCACACTGCTGGGAGACTAGGGTGGCGTGTAGCAATATTGATTATCTTTCTTACCCATCCACCCTCATAAGGGCAGGTGTCAGGGGTTCAGGGAGAGAGGCACAGGGTAGGCAGGAGATGGAGAGCGATGGGGAGGAATTCCAAGCCAGCGAGGAAGAGGATGACAATGACTCAAGAGATTCCATGAGTCTTTCCAGCGAATCAGAGGATTCCCAGAAGGGGGCGCCGGTGGTCAAGGCCAGGGAGCCCCAGGGGGAAGTGTCAGGAGCAGGGTGCCAGCGGAGGATCCCAAAGTGGCAGCTGGGCGTCAGGACCAGCCTCCCCACCAGAGTGCAGCGAAGGGGTGGAGTTTCCAGTGTGTCAGAGGAAGCAGCTCCAGCAGCAGAGAAAGGAGGGGGTCAGAGCAAGCCGCCCTCCCGGAAGAGGAGGGGAGCAGTGAAGGGAGTAGTGTAACTGTCAAAAGGAAAGTTAGAGGTTTGGCGCGCGCGCCTAGTTCAAATGTAGAGGCGCGCGGAAGTGCAGGGAGCCCGGAGGAGGGGCCAGGTCCCAAAGCCCGCAGGAGGGCTGAAGAGCAGTCTGATTCCGCGTCAGAGGAATCCAGGAGGGGCGAAACCCCAGTGGGCAGAAGGACCCTGCGGAAAAGGAAGGAGAGAAAGAGGTGGAGCAGCGCAAGTCTCTTAAATTGGTGCAGGGGAGGGACTGACTCAGAGGGGACTTCAGCGGTCTAGCGTAAGAGACGTAAGGCTGCGCGCCTAGGATGTCAAGCAAACCATGAACTGCAATAAACACCTTTGTATATAAGAAGACATAGGCGTTGGTCTTTTGTGAGCTAAGACTTGAGGCAGCCTTGACAGCAGGTTACAAAAATATATATATACAGTTTTAAAATCCTGTAAAACAAATTACAGAAATGACAAATTACAAGAACATAGAGTGAGTCCTAGCAAGAGAGAAATGATGATGAAATAGCATATCTGGAAAACAGATAAGGAGGAAGCAGAGGAGGAGAAAGTGTTTCCTTGTACCAGAGCAGGGTGTACTCATGCAGAGGATGTCATCACAGCTGCATTGATGGTACCCACTATATGCACTCTCACAGCTACAAGTAGCTTGAGGATTTCTGTTGCCTTGCATATAAGTTCAAAAAAGTTTCTAGTCTGCAAGTTTACCTCTCCACCTGTCCCCATATACCTGTATTATTTATATGTGGCATACTGACAGTCTAAGTGGAAATATAAAGAAACCAGTTCTTTTTCCAATTTACAGAAGATTCCTTGCTGCTCACTTGGGGAGGATTTGTACTCACCACTGGTGACTAGGTGAAGGGCTATTTACACACCCAATATAAAGTTAATCCTTGTGGACTTCAGCATTGGCCTGGGCATCTCAGCGAAGCTAGATGCTATTGAAGCCAAGAGCGGTTCCCCCCAGTGCATTCTCAATGGAGGCAGCATCCGAAATGCAAAAGTATGGAAAAGCATTTAGATATCATTTTGCTGAAAGAATTACAAGGAGCCTCTTGCCACACACACACGGGCTCTGTTGACATGAAAGAATAGCTGACCGTTAGTCTGAATAAACTATTACATAACAGCTAAGCTATAATAAAACCCTGATTCCAAATCAAATAAGTCTCCCAGACTGCTTTCAATGAGTCACCAACAGCTTTATAAACATACAAAATACTTGACAAGGAAGTCTCTGATAATTTTTTAGCAATTATGTCTGCGAATTGTTCCTTGCTGACATCACCGTTTGAAATGGTTTCCCATAAGTTTGTGTTCCCTCTTTATGTCTGCTCATTAATCATTACAGCTTGAAATATTTCTTTTTCCTACCAACGCCCCCCCCACAACAAAACCCATTATCAGAGCGTTTTCATGGCTCTGAAGCCAGCTGATGTGTCAGATTCTAAATTATCAGTGGCTCAGGAGAAACCATTTCCCCCTTTCGGCTCTGTAGAAGAGGAGGCTTTTGTCTATACAAATAAAAGGACTGCATGGTTAGAGCAGCTCCATTGTAGTGGTTTGCAATGGAGTGGTATGAAATTTTTCTGCATTGACCTGTCTTGCCGCCCACCTGTCAAAATTGCTTACATTGCATTGCAAATCTCCTGCACTCCTGTCTGAGCAAAAACGCTCTTTGAAGCAGCTGCCCCTTTTCCTTTAAACACCACCACCCACCTGCTTGCTCTAATGTTTAAAGGAGGAGGTGGCTGCTTCAAAGAGCACATTTGCAAAGGGCTTCTTCCTTGCATCTCTGGTGTTAGAGGTGCAAAGCAGAATGGGGGAGGATCCCACAGGGCTTTCACTTCATTCTCATGTGGCTCCTTCCCACCTCTTATGTCACAGGTGCCCCTCTTTTCCATCACAGAGCTACATTCCAGGAGTTCACTGGGAAGAGGGATGGACTGTTAAACCACCCTGAGAACTATAGCTTTCTGAGGGGAAATGAATCGCCTAACAACTCTCAGCACCCTTAACAAACTACAGTTCCCAGGATCCTTTGGGGGAAGCCATGACTGCCTTGGCTTTGAATTCCTTTTCCCCACAGCATGTGTGTAAGTGGTAATCATGGTTATGGAGATACACTCTGCATATGTCCATTAGGAAACTTCATTCCGAATACTCCACAAGGTTCTCAAGCTAAGGCCCCTGTAGCCCTAACTCCAGTTAGGCTCCAGGAGAGTGGAGCACAGCAAAACATCGTCTGATTCCTGCACAATTTATCTTCCTTATCTTGGACAAGCGGCTTGACATTTTGCAGCAACATACAATTAAGAAGCAAAATCGGAGCTGCTGGCCCCAAGTGTCAAATGGTGAGCTCCATAATATGGCTTGGCACAACCGATGCAAGGGAAAGAGAATTTTAAAAAGCTCACCACAATAACAACAACAACAACATCCAAGGCAGAGCCAGAGGAAATAGCCTCATAATGTTGAATGCAGACTAGAAGGGCCCACGTGGTCCACTCATTCCTTCAGATCTGAGCTTGGGAACTAAGAAGTTGCTGAGTTCAAATGGGGGACTGAGGCACCAATCAGTGTGCAACCTCAGGCAAGACATCTGATGCTTGCTGAGCCTCGGTTAGCCCCAGATTCAACTGGAAACCAGATGTTGCCTGTGCACTGAACCAAGTAAATCAGTTGTAAGAACATCATACTTTCAAAATATGCCATCACTGGGGGGGGGGGGTTTACTAATGGCAGGCCAAGTTGTGCACATTTCTTATGGACATGTGAATGCTTAGTAATGGTTTGAGCCAGGGATGGGGAACCTGCGGCTATAGTGAAGCTGTGCTGGTCCTCAAATTGCCTGCTCATTCCTGTGCAAGAGGCTGCTGTTAAAGTCACAATGGCAGAGGTTGGCTGATCATTTGGCAACAGTCCCCAATTCAAAGGCTGAACCATACCACCATTCCAACCATTTTCAGTTGCAGAAAGAACCATGTACACCATCTTGGGCTGTTTTTTTGGCAGGGGGAAGGCAAGATAAAAATGCTCAATAAAGATCTTATAAATTTAAGAATCACAGAAGTCAATTGCATCCCTCTTGTCCTTCCAGTGTGGTGTAGTGGTTAAGAGAAGTGGATTCATAATCTAGTGAACTGGGTTCACATCTCCGCTTCTCCACATGCAGCTGCTGGGTGACCTTGGGCTAGTCACACTTCTCTGAAGTCTCTCAGCCTCACTCACCTCACAGAGTGTTTGTTGTGGGGGAGGAAGGGAAAGGAGATTGTTAGCCACTTTGAGACTCCTTAGGGTAGTGATAAACAGGCTATCAAATCCAAACTCTTATTCTTCATCTACGAGAACATAAGAAAGATCCTTACTGAATCAGACCAATGGCCTATCTAGTCCACTATCCTGTTTCCCACAGTAGCCAATCACATGCCTCTGTGGGAGCCCAGAAGGAGTTCCAAGTCATAAGTATGCTCACGTGTGTCCAAGGCTCCTATTTTGCCCAGCCAGTGTAGCTTTTCTGGTCTTCTTCCACATTGTGGCCCTCCAGGACCTTTTGCCTAGCCAGGCTCTCACCTTTTAGGAATAAGTACAACTCTATAAGGTCAGGAGTGGGGAAGCTGTGGGCCCTCAGTTGTTGTTGTCCAACTCCCATCAGCCACAGCCAGCTGAGCCAATATTCAGAGATGATGGAGGTTGTAGACCATCAACACCTGCATACTCTCCAACTTTTCTCCAATGAAAATAGGGGAAAGTGGGACATTCTAAATCAGGGACATCCCTGAAAAATAGGGACACTTATCTGGAGAGCCACACCATAGCATAGGTGATCTCAAAGAAGAATGACTTGCTTTCTCTGAGATACTTGATTTCAATCTTCTTTCATAAGGGCAAGCTAAGAAATATTGAGTGAGAAGGAAGATTTTGACTTAAAATCTAGCCAGGGCTGTTACCAGAGGCCAAATTCAGTAGCTAGTCTTAGCCCACCCTTCCTGAAAAGATTGCCATTGATTTCAGGGGTGTTGCGACTATTTCCGAACGAATTACCATTGCTTATTGGAGAAGAACTTGAAATTCTAGCATAGCATTGGCTTCGAAGATTCTGGAATTTTTATGGCGATGATGACTGAAAGGCCCATTTTCACAGCAGCTAAGGTCAGCTCCGCATGATGACTCACTTACACCACTGATCTACACAAATAGCATGTGCTATGATTGTCATCTGGTATAACAATCTGCATCACAAGACTCCACATTTCCTGTTCCCCAGCGTACATCCACTGCAGGCCTGAGGGAAAAACTTAGCAAGTTTCCCAAGTATCTTTACAGAGTGAATAATGTCGCTTACATGGTGTTGGAGGAAGAGTGATGGGAAGAGAAAAGGGGGGAAATTATGAGGTAACTCCCCTTTCCTTTGTCCCTCCTCATGATGCTTGCCATTTCAGAGAAATGAAATCTATGTAATCAACATCCTACCTGAACAAAGAAACTCTAGAGTGGTGTGGAGTGACTCCTTCCTTAAACCCTGAAGGCCTGTTGCCAGCCAGTGTAGGTAATACTGAGCTAGAAGGACCAATGCTTTGACTCACTATATGTTTCAAAATAAAGAGAATGTGCTTTGCCAAGAAGGATAAATTACAGCGTTGTATTGGAGAGGTTCTCAGACCGTGGTCTATCCATGCAGGGGGAAATGCAGAACAGTTGAATATATATATATTTGACAACACGCTTGATTTATTTATTTATTTTGATGACAGAGATTGAGGCTGTTCTGTCCAGGGCCAGATTTAGCATGCAGCATAACAACACCCAGAAATGGGGACCTGTGATACTTTCACAGTGTAACTGGGGCAGTCTACTAATTTCCTCCCCTGAAAATTATCGGCTAAAAGGCAGAACTATGGTCATCAAAATATGAGTTATGGATATAGGTTGAATTGTAGACACCCCCCCAAAAAAAAGTTTATTAAGTGGTCCACCACAGCCCCCTGCAAGAAGGTTGGACTACAGTTCCCATCAGCCCCAGCCAGCATGGCCAAAGTGAAGGATGATGGGAATTGTAGTTCAGCTACATCTGGAGGGCCATAGTTTCCCCATTCCCTGCTTTAGGGCATAACCTCTGTTCATATTAGATTCTAAACAAGGAGAACATCACATAGTTCCAGGCTCTACTGAAGACATGACAGAACCATGTCATTTAAAGCCAGTGTGGTATAGACTGTTGGACAAAGACTTGGGAGATCAGGGTTCAGATCCCCACTCGGCCAGGAAGCTCACTTGGGCCAGTCCCTGCCTTTCTGACTAACCTACTCCACAGGGTTGTTGTGAGGATTAAATGAGGACAGGGGAACCATGTATGCCACCTTGAGCTTCTTGGAGAAAAAGGTGGGATATAAATGAAAGAAAGAAATACAATTTCTTTTACGCTACCAAAATGCCCTCCATGGGCTCATGACGCCAAAGGACAAGAAATTCCTCCTCTGTCAAATAAAATAAAGTTAGATACGGAATGAGGTAAATAGAAAACAAGCTACTAAATGTCAGGCATTATGCAAACAAATGAAGATTCTGGAAACTTGTAGGTTCCTGGCAAAGGACAGCCCTAAGCTCAAGAGGTCAATGGCGTCTTTCAGGGAACAGCTGTCAGAGCACGTCGACCCAGGGAAAAGGCCTCACTGAGATTTCAGAGATTTCTTCTTTCATGAACATTTCAATCAGGCTCTGACTGAGGAAAAATGACCCTTTTAAGGCTGGCTTAAGGAAAGGCTGCCGCATCCACTTGGGAAGTGTTGCATGTGATCCAAGAAAACAATTTAACTTTATAAAATTAGAGGTGGTGGGTGTTGATTTAACATAATTAGTGTTGATTTAACCTACACTGTGCAGGTGAGGGATGCAGTGGCAGAGACTCTGCCTTGCAGTCAGAAGTTCCCAAGTTCCCTGGCATCTCTCGGTAGGGCTGGGAGAGCATTCCTTCCTGACAGCGCCAGAGAGACACTG